ATGAAAAGTGCTCTGAAAGACTCTAGCCTGCAGGTATCAAAGCAGATGCTGAGACTTATAGCCAAGCTTTGGGCAGAGTGCAGGGAATCTTATGAAAGAAGTGGGAGATAGTAAGACCTGGAGAGGACAGGGGCTACACAAGGAAAACAACAGAATCAAAAAAATTGAGCACAGAGGTCTTTTCTGAGACTGATCCTCCAAACAAGGAGGATTCATGGATATAGCATAGAACCCCTGCACTGATGTAGCCCATGGCAGCTCCAAGTGGGTTCCCTAGTAATGGGAACAGGGACTGTCTCTGACATGAACTGATTGGCCTGCTCTTTGATCACCCTCCCCTCAAGGGGGTGCATCCTTACCAGGCCACAGAAGAAGACAATGCAGCCACTCCTGATGAGACCTGATAGACTAGGATCAGAAGGAAGGGGAGAAAGACCACCACTATCAGTAGACTGGGGGAGGGTGGAGATGAGATAGGGAAGGTGGAATTGGGAAGGGAGGTGGGAGGGAGCTACAGGTAAGATTCAAAGTGAATAAACTGTAATTAATAAAAATAAGCAATTTGTTTAACATTTTAAAAAATATAAAAAGTGTATGCTTACGTGTGGAATGTTTACAAGACAGGAGTTCAAAGGACAGACTGTCAGAGACTATCAAGTAAGAAAGCTAGGTATAGAGCATTGACTCTGATTCGAAGGTGAAGGTCATCTAGGTTAAGTAGCTAATACAGCATAGAGGGAGAAATTAGCAGGCCAGCTGCCATCGACAAAGCAGCATTTTGGCTTCCATGTGTACTCATAACACTCATACATAGAACCTATGTGTAGGCCTCTCTGTAAATTGCTTTTTTATCATTATGACAGACAGCTGACAGAAGCAACATAAGGGAGAAAAACTTATTTTGGCCTCTGTCTTCAGGGAATGCAGTCCACCACGGTGAGATGAAATACCACTTTATCTCTCCCCACAGAGGCAGGCGATGGAAGCTCACTTAATTTGTGACTTACAAGAAAGAAATTACATGGTTGGAAGCACAAGTGAATACCACCTTCAAGGTTCACACTGCTGATACGTTTGGCTAGCATGGCTACAGTTCTACAGTTACCACAACTTCCCAAAACATTGTCAGTACGCGGCAACACATTCAAACATAAGAGCCTGCAGAGCACATTTCACAAACAAACCATGACATGCTCTTGCCCAACTGCTCACCATGAAAACTAGAACACAAGCACTAAGAAATGGGGTCTAACCTGTTTGAAGTACCTTTCCATTGTCAGCAGCTAAAACATTACACAGTGGGATCACAATAATATTTATTCAATATTTACAACTTCAAATGCAGGTTCAAGTTGAACTTTGTTCTCTAACATTTTCTGATTTCTAGGCATTGAAAAGCTTTTGGAAAGCTGAGTTGGAAGCTTTGCTTTAGAATCAGATGGACCTAGTTCAAGAGCTTTGCAGTTATTGAATGAGAATCATTACCTTACAATTTATGAATTTAAAATTTTGGTAAGACAAAGAATGGTATTGAATTTGTACTGTTGTTGTGGCTATCGTAAATAACGAACATATGCCTGTTATTCAACCATACATATTAATTACCCAATCTGTAACAGCAATTGGCTTAGAGCAGGTACCTTCCATTATGTTTCTACCTCAGACTCATGCTGTTTCCATCTGAATTAGAGTCGTAAAGACTTTGTGTTAGACAATACCATGCCCACTCTATTCAATGGAAAATATTTTCTGTTATGTGCTTATTGCTTATTTAATGTTCTTGGAAAATTCTGCTCTTAAAATTGATTCAAAATTCTAAGTCAGTAAAACTTACATTTGGATTAGATCCCAGTGCTATCTCTTTGCATCAGTGCTATAACTTCTATGTTTGTATCTTCATGACATCTACATTAATATTCACCTTCTCTTGTTATAGTATCAGTGCATAGGTTCTACTCACCCATTATTGGTGCCTAATAGGTCATTGTAAGCATGCATACTCCTGTGACAGAACAATAAATACGGAAACTTTAAATGTGAGCAGCATTAAGTTGTCATTAAGAATACAATGTCCACTGAAAGAGAGAGTTCTCCACCACTGCCATCTGCCCATAACTTGTTAAATCTCATCAGGACTGCCTGGGTCCTCTTCCTCTATGGCCTGGCAAGTCTGCACCACCAGGGGCGAGTGACCAAAGAGCAATCAACTGAGTTGATGATTAGAGGCAGCGCCAACTCCTCTCCTCACTCAGAGACCCACATGGAGACTGTGCAGCCAATTAGCCACATCTGAGCACGGCTTCTAGGCCCTCTCCATTCATGGACCTCCATTGGTACATCATTCTCTGCAGGACCCCCTGGGCTCAGATCTTTTAGTTCTGTTGGTCTTCTTGTGGGGCTCCTGTCCCCTTCATGTTGCTCTATTCCTACCCATTTCTTTCAAAAAAATGTAAGAAAAAAAATGTAAAAATAAAAAAGGAAAGAAAAGAACACAATGCCTTTCAGAAGATGTTATATTTAACAAAATTTTAATCTTATTTTAGGAGTTGTTCCCTTTAAGGAGCTTTGCTATAGAAGCTAAAGTAAGATAGGAAGTTAGGAAAGATGTTTGAGTTATAACCTTTATGACATTGAAAGTAGTTATTATTGCTTTTTATTAGAGAGCCTGATCCACAAGCTTTTTCTTATACTTCTGATTTTAGTAACTGATGTCCACAGGACTCACTTGTTAGTTTTGTGCACTCCCTGTGCAGTAAAATGTGGAGGAGAAAGAAGCAGATGGATTTGATTTGATTGATAGATATAGAGATATCACTCTCTGCTGAGAACAACAGTAAGTTTAGGCAGACAGAAGTAATAAAGAAAGAATTCAACCAGGGTCAATTTCACATTATATCGTTAGATAATGGTGACAGTATGGAAGCTTTATTTTATCAAAGTATCATGTTGCAATGTGGAAATTTAGCTGAGGCAAGAAAAACAAAATCCTGGACATATAAAATAAACAAATCAGTATATCAATTTTTTTTTCATTTTGTTTTTCGATTGGTCGCTGTGGCTTAGATACAGAGCAACTGTGTACAATGGGGAATCACAATAAGTAACTTTGGGAATCATCAACCAGGAGCAATAGCAGACATACACAAAAAGATGTCTGCATGCATGCATAGCTAAAGTAAACTTTCTCTTTACCAACTGCTTCTACGCTTATTACATACTTGAAATTAAATGCTGACATCTAATTAAGCAGTCCAAGGCATTTACAGGATTTCCAATTATTCATGGTTGAGGAATGTTTTTTCTTCTAGAGAAACACATTTTATATATATATATATATATGTATATATATATGTGTGTGTGTGTGTAACAAATCATCGCTATTAGATCTCATTCATGATTTAAATTCTGCTATGTATATATATACACATATATATATGTATGTATATATGTATATATATACATATACATATATACATATACATATATATGTGTGTGTATATATATATATATATATATATATATATGTATTGCACATTACATCTGCACATTCTATCACACCCAAATCCTATTTTCAAATATGGGAAATAGAATTATTTTTCTTTTACAAATTATATAAAATATATATTTTTGAAATATATCTTTGCTTAATAGAAGAATCTGTACAAACAGGATAGGATACTATTTCACTGTGTATTGATTCTTGTTCACCAAAATAAAACACATTATTCAATTTAATTTAGCTAATATTTGTTAAATGTGGCTATTTTAATATTCTAATGTCAACATGCAAATTTAGCTAACACAATAAATGCAAAATTCTGGTAATGTCAAGTAAACAAACTGCTGTATCTTTTTTTTATTCTTTTGTTTTCATCTCCTTTTCAATTGATTGCTATGATTTAGCCATACAGCAACTATGTATACTGGCGAAGCATACACAACACATTGGAAATCATCTACAAGGAGCAATGCAGACATATACATACAAATGGGTGCATCCTTGCATTATTAAAGTAAGCTTTCTCTTTACCAACTGCATTTAAGCTTATTAACACACATGAAATCAAATACGGTACTTTATACATTTTGGGATAATATTCTTATGTTTATAATCTACTATTTCAGAATTTTTTCATTCTGATTTTTTCTTTATTTTTATTAGCATTCATAATTGTGAAAAATAAATCACGTAATTTTGATATTCTCATGCATATATATAATTTCCTTTGCTTATATTTATTACCTATTTTGTCTTTTCATGAACTGTTTTTATTGACAATAACTGATTTTATGGACAATAAAAAAACTTGATCAAGGACATTTTTAATGTAAAAGTGTAATTTTAAAGTTTGTAATTGAAAATGTAAATTAAGTAGTGTGATAAGAAAAACAACAAGTGCAATCAAGGAGAAATGATGGGCTCATCGAGATTTAATTAAGATGCATAGCACTAAACCCCTAACAAAATGAAGAAATAAAAACAACAAAAAAACAAAAACAACAGTAACAACAGAAACCAAACCAAACCAAACCAATGACACCCCCAACATCCACAACAAATGAGCAAGGCAGTATTTGTCAGCTGAAATTTCAGAGACGTTTTAAGATTCCTATAGTAAGACATCAGAGCAACAGCATGCTGAGAAGTTGGCTAAGCAAATCATCGCTATTAGATCCCATTCATGATTTAAATTCTGCTATTTTATCTCTTCATAACATGCAGTACTTTTGAACCTCATATTTCCATGCATTTCAGCTCCTGCTGACATAAGTGCGTTCCCAAAATAGAATGTCACAGCAATATTCTGCTAGACATCTACGCCCATTTGTGCATGTACTTTTTAGGATGTTTTTTCTTTCTTTCTCTCTTTCGCTCCTTTTAACCTCTTAACTGTTAAGAGGTCCTGGAAGGCAGACTTAGAATGAATGAGAACTTGTTTTCTGAAACGACACTAGACAGTTTATGAACTCTTAAAAAAAAAAAAATCACAGTCTCCCACCTTGAAAACAAACATCTCCCGTCGAAGAATAGCTAGAGTGTTGAAGTTCCCATCACAGATGTTGGGTTTGGCTCCTGGATAAGCAGGTCTGCCAGTGGGAGGCCGAGGAGGTTTGGGCCTGTCGTTTCTCCTTGGGTCAGCTGGAGGAACAGATCGGTGAGGGGGCACTGTCGGTAGAGGTCTTGTTGGTGGAGGGATCTTGTCAGGTGGACCTTTTGGAAACATGAGGACAGTGCTTGGCTCACTTAAAACTGGAATAGAGCTGGAAGATATGCTACAGAGAACAAGCACTTATCAGCACATGGCACAGACTAAGCAAGCTGAGAGGTTGCTAAGATCGCATGTTTTCTGAAAGCACTGACCCTCCACCCACCCACCCACCCACCCACCACCACGGTTGTCTCAGCCTGTCCTCATGAGGACGGCATTCAGCTCCCCGTGGTACAACTTCTTCGTTGATCTTTAGTGGCTTTTATTTTATAGCCTCAACCTCGTCCCTATTGCAGATTGTTCTCAAAACCTGTTTGGAAGTAGGTATTCCATTAAAAAAGGATGAATGGGAATAAATACTGGGTTCATAACTGTGTGCTCCATTCAAGAGAAAAACTGGACTTTGACAGACGATGATACTATGAAAATATTTCCCAAAGATAGACACTAAGAAATCAAGGGTTATTCTGCCATATGTCTCCAACTATATTTTATAAGCTTTTACTGATTTCACTATTTTATTTTAATAAAATGTCTTGACAAATAGCTGTGTGCTTTTACTTAAATACTGACTCTAAAGGGGCCATTGATTAACATACCACTGGTGAAATATTAATGTAAAGTATTTCTAAAGAGAGGCTTCCGAGTTGAGCCAACGTTTACTCTCATAATTTGTGACAGATGTTAGCCATCATTCCTCAAGGGATTGATGTTTTTTCTCTTTAATAAATATAGAGTAGTTCACACTTAATATTTACATATGGGATGTATATTCTTTAACAGCCCTTCAATATAGACACTAATTTATGAAGTCATGAGAAACAGACTTCTTTGAGCTAACCATGAAGGAGAAATTTCTGAAGAAACACACAGGCAATGGATATCTCAGTATCCAGGCTATTTGGATTTGTTTCTGGTACATATATCAGTCCATCCAATAAATTTCAAATATACTTTAACCCTAAGAGAATCATTATGATTGTGGTCCTAAAATATAAAAACTAATGAATGCAAAGCAAATTAGTGCACTTAAATTGCCTTATTTAAAATGCAAATCACATCTTCTGTATCTCGATTGTTGACACAATGATAGCACATACTTATTTGTAAAAATGAGAGCTTCATTTACTTACTCTAGTGAAGTATACCGGCAATAGTTAAATTGCGAATGTCAAAAATCTTAATAATGCATGAAATGAATGTCTTTACAAAGTACTATTTGTACTTAGCCAGTTACGCTCATAGTAAACATGCATGATAGTGTTTCCCCTTTCTTGTAATCTGTATTTGTTGAATAAATTCTATAAGTAAAAAAAAAATATACTACCAAACTAGAAATGTAGTTTGTAATATTAAAAGTGCAATCCATGCTGAGTTGATAAATTTAGTCAGTTGTTCACTTCCGTACTCTTGCTGTTGACTCCTTATGATTCAATAGTAATGCCTTTAAGATCAATATGCTTTTATATTGAATAACTAAGTTTTTGACCTTCAAAAATAGCTATTCTTGGAAAGGGAATTTTAAACACTAATTCCCAACTGTCAGAGAATGAGGTCTCATCTTTCATAATATGTGAAAGTTACCTATTTTTATGAGCTTATGTATTTAACATACTACTACCTAAATTTTAAATGTGTACATTTTTAGAATTTTTTATGGGTGTAAGTTTTCATTAGATTCAACAAGAAAGCTCCGTCAGAGAGTATGTCTTTCTGGTCTATTACCAATACAAGTTGTTTGAAAATAGAATTTCACTAACATTACAGAACATTTTTCTTTCTATTTTTCTCTGTCTTATATATTTAAGGTCTATACCTCTAAGAAAACAAATACACATGACTTCAGCATGCCCCATAGGGAAAGGCAAATAGGAACAGTGGAACCTACCATATATCTTCTGGATGCCCTGTAGATCGTCATTAGGAAGCTTGAAGTTGTCTGTTTCCATGTACTGGTAAAAGGGAGCCATGATAGCGGTGGGGTCATTGGAATGCTCCAGCCCGAGAGCATGTCCCAGCTCATGAACTGCTACGAGGAATAAATCATTTCCTGTCAAATGAGAAGAATAGAGGTAAGATTATTATAAGTGATAGCCATGGAAATTGAAAGGGCAACTTAGTGTTATCAGAATAGTAACCCAGAAAAACAGAAAGACCCTTTCCTCCAGTGACCCATGTGGTTTTAACATTGGCTTCCCTGCTGGAGAAGATTTGCTTTAAAGGGGTGGGCTAGGCAATGGTGTTGGTGAGGTCACAGATGCTTAGAAAGTAAATGAATAAAAGTCTAAAGAGATCAATCAGCAATATCAAAACCCAGTAACACGGGTGTTAACGTATCTTTCCAATCATAAAGTAGAATACATAATCTTTTATTTTATAATCATTACATTTAACATAGTATTTGAAATAATAAAAAAGAGCAATTAAACAAATTCCATTTCTTTTTACATATAAGAGTCCGATAAGGCACAGAGGATCTGCTTGCCAAGAACAGCAGATTCTGCTGATACATAGCTGCAGTCTGGATTCATGTTATTGTGACTCCTACATGATTTCTAATATTTTACTAACCCAAAATCAGGAACACTGTAACTTAAAATACCTTCTTTTAAATGTTTAAAGCTATTGAGGCGAAAGTGTAACACGGTCTTTGGAGGACTTGCTAGGAATGAAAATAATTTCAATAAATATCATTTTCAGGAAAACCCCTTACCATCTATTTTATATACCATAATAAAATGTAATGACTCCCTTTTGGGAATTATATATTTTTGACTCAAAGTAAAAACAAAAAAAAAAGAAAATAAAACAAAACAAAAATATTTCCACTCTGATGTAGTCTGTCTCAGAGAAATGAAAGAGGTCATGTGGCCAATTCTCATGAGACATTGAGACACTGAAGATGAGAAGCTGCAAAAGCATTTTCAGCATCACTTTATTACTAAAGAAAACTGAATTGAGACTGGTATAAAATATCAAGGGGATTTAAAACAATATGAGCATATTAAATTTTAAGGAAATTATCTTCTCTTTTATAAAATTCAATAATGCAAATTAAGACAGAAAATATAATATATATGTATCAACTGTAATGGAAAATGTTGTGTTTCTTTACTAATAGCTTACTTACTTTTCTGTGGATGTTTCTAACGTTTTATCCATACTTTCTAATTTATTTTTCACAAATTCATTGTGAGTTGGTCACTTATTATTGTTTCTACTTAGTAAGTGAAATAAAGGCTGAAGATATTGTATAAAATTTTCAGTGTCATATAGTAAGGCAAAACAAATATTAAGGTATCTCTCAGACCAACTACAGCATGCTTATTTTTAATCACAAAAATAAACTACATGCATATAACCATGTTATCTTATACTATGTGATTCAATGTGGTTATGTGAAAACAACTCATTCATAAAATGATTAATTTATCCCTCAATAGTTTAGTGTATGGCTACTCTGTATTAGGTTTTTTTATAGACTCTTATAATAAATACTGAACAATACAGACAACAAACAAACAAAAACAATAACTATATCATAGCATTTACATTGTAATGGAGAGGACTAGATAGAAAGAAGGTAAACAAGGAAAGAATATAAAACATGAATTATATAGAAAATATCAAAGCATATGAATGATGAGGTTCAAGAGAAAATAAAAGTTAGAGCAGACATGACATTTTAGACAACAGTAATGAGTTGGCTGCTAGTTTAAGGATAGTACTGAAAATTTCTGAGAAGATAAGGAACACAATTTCATTTATACCTTGACAGAGTCACTCTTGGAATTACTATATAGCATCAACTCTGAGACAGAAGAGACAGTATAGAAGATCCTGAATAGCAATTACCTCTAAGATAAAACATACCATATTTGAGAAAAGCTTATTAAGTAAGATCCATAAACTTCTAAAATAAGGAAAGTATTCCACCTTGTAGGAAATTTCATTACAACTCAGGAATTAAACAACTCAATAGCTTCAGAATACTCCTGATCAGATTCATTATCCATTTCTTTCCCCAAGTAGGTTTGCTAAGAGACTAGGAGAGCTACCAAGAGGCTCACGTCAACTGGGACACCTGGAAAAAACAGACCAGTCAAAGTCCCTAAAAAAAGACTCTGACCAACTGATCTGCCTAGAGGAGATACCCTTCAATGTATCAAACTCCTTGCAAGTTATGAAGTGGAGTCTTGGTTATAGATTTCAAGAGTCGTCACCTATTGGATGGGATTTTGTTTATGCAACTGTTTTAAAGTTATTTCTGCTTTTCTAAGTAACTCCCCTAAACTCACTGATTCACCATGCTGGATGCTGGTGATATCATTGACTTGGTCTGTCATTGATTTCCTATCTGTGATGAGTAACTTTTTGTTCATGTTTCCCCAGGGTACTATCATACAACCAAAAGTGATATGGAAGTAGAAATAGACGGAAAAGAGGATGAAACACACTGATTCTTGAACTTATAGGTGGAAGGTCAAGAAGGATGAAACAGACATCATTGTCAAAGAAATATTTGTAATAAACAGTTTTAGGGAATATAAAAGAAAGTACAGTCAAGTGAAAGTCTATTCTCTATTGTAAAAATCTATGAAAATAATGTTGTTTGGCAAGTGAATATTATTTGGATTATTCTGTAACTGTTTTAGTACAAAAATTTAAGGGAGGTGAAAACTGAATGGGGATTCTCAAGTAAGGAAGAAAGACATACATGGTATACACTCACTTATAAGTGGATATTAGGCATATAATATAGGATAAACCTACTAAAATATGTACTCCTAAAGAAGTTAAGCAAGAAGGAGGACCCTAGGGAAGATGCTCAATCATTCAGAATGCCAAATTTGATAGACATCGGAAGAGGGAGAAAACAGGGAACAGGACAGGAGCCTACCATAGAGGCCCTCTAAAAGACTCCATTGATCAAGGTATTGAAGGAGATGCTGAATCTCATAGCCAAATTTTGAGTGGAGTGCAGGGAATCTTAATAAAGAAGGGGGAGATAGAGAGATGTGGAGGGGACAGGAGCTCCACAAGGAGACCAACAGAACCAAAAAATCTGGGACCAGGGGTCTTTGTGGAGATAAATACTGCAACCAAGGATCAAGCATAGAAAGGACCTGGAACCGTAGCTGAGATGTATCCCATGGCAGGTCAGTCTCCAATGGGAGCAAGGGCTTTCTCTGGCATGAAATCTGTGGCCAGTTCTTTGATCACCTCCTCCTTTCCTTGGGGGAGGCAGCCTTGTCAGGCCACACAGAAAGTGAATGCAACCAGTCCTGATGAGACCTGATAGGCTATGGCCAGATAGAAGGGGAGCAGGACTTCCCCTATCAGTGGACTAGGGGAGAACATAAGGAGCAAAGAGCGAGGGAGGGTGGGACTGGGAGGAGACAAGTAGGGCGCTACAGATGTGATAGAAACTGAAATAAATAATGAATAAGAAAGAAGTGTCTTGAGACAATCCAAGATGGTGGCACCGAGAGGAACATTGTGTTTGAAGAGCAGGACATCAATGACTGTATAGTGACCAACATACCAAACTCTGGGCCCCCAAACACCAGTGATTGTGTTTCCCAAGTAAGAGGAAACCCCACAGTGTGGGAAGCAATGGGGTCAATTCTCTGGTCACCAAGCTAATGCCCAGAAGAGTTCTCTGGTCCCAGGAGGCATTTGGTCAACAGGCACACAAGCCTCTGTGCTCTACTCACCATTCCAGAATAAACTATGGTCCCCCAAACACCACAGACTGGGTCTGCCTGTCAGGAGGAAATACCTTAGTAGGGAAAACATCAGGTCCAACTTCAGAAAATCCAACTATTCCCAGAGAAGTTCCTGGGTTCCTGCAGGTTCCAGGCTCTAGCACCCTGCTGCATGCTCTAGCCCCCTGCTGCATGCGTGAGTTTTGCACTCACCTGCCTCTGATTACTGGTGGATACTGGGGCACAGAGCTCCAACTTCAGACCTACAGAAGCTTGGAATCCACGGGATCAGCCCTCAGACACTGCACCAAGATGCGACCTGTCTCCCTAGCTAAAATGTCCAAATGACAGGGCTCCCTGAAAGTCGAAGAAAAAAAAAAAGCGGATACACAGAAGAGGAGTAGAGGGCTGGAAATAATCAAACTCAGAGCTGAAATCAAGAAATTAAAATCAAATAAAACTATTTAAAGAATCAATGAAACCAAGAGCTGGTTCTTTGAGAAAATCAACAAGATAGACAAACCCTCAGCCAAACTAACTAAAAGGCAGAGAGACACTATCCGAATCAACAAAATCAGAAATGAAAAGGGGGAAATAACAACAGACACAGAGGAAACCCAAACAATCATTAGGTCTTACAAAAAAGCCTATATGCCACAAAATTTGAAAAATACAAATGAAATGGAAAATTTTCTTGATAGATTCCACTTTCCAATCTGAATCAAGACCAGGTAAATAAATTAAGTAGCCCTCCATCCCCTAAGGAAATAGAAGATGTCATCAAATTCTACCATCCAAATAAAGCCCAGAGCCAGATGGTTTCAGTGCAGAATTTTACCAGACCTTCAAAGAAGAGCTAACACAAATACTCTTCAAACAATTCCAAAAAAACAGAAACAAACAAACAAACAACAACAACAACAACAACAACAACAAAACATTACCTAACTCATTCTATGAAGCCACATCAGCTTGAAACCTAAAGCTCACAAAGACCTAACTAAGAAAGTGAATTTCAGGCCAATCTCTGTTATGAACATGGATGCAAAATACTCAACAAAATACTCGCAAAGTGAATCCAAGAACACATCAAAGATATCATCCACCATGAGCACGTAAGTTTCATCCCAGGTATGAATAGGTGGTTCAATACATGGAAATCCATCAATGTAATCTACCATACTAACAAACTGAAACAACAAAAAAAATATGATCATCTCCTTAGATTCTGAAAAAGTATTTGATAAGAAAACAACACTTGTCGTGATTAAAGTCCTGAAGAGATCATGGATACAAGGCACTTATAGTAAAGGTAATATACAGCAACATATATAATATATGT